TTGCCTTAATAAAATGTCCTGTGGGTCTCCTCCACTCCGCCTGTCCCGTACCTTGGAGGGGGGGTCACCATCAGCCTCCCTGCGAGCAGAAAGGACAGGTCCCACTGGCCCTCCGGGTGCCTCTGCACCTGGCCAAGGTAGGGGGTTATCAAACGCAGCACCCTGAATGGTGAAACAAGGTGGAGGAGAAGGCTGGTTCACCATTAGCTGTGAGTTGGTTACTCCTCTGCCCTTTGGTGCTCAAGGATTACACTACTAAAAGGGTATGAGGGGTAGCCAGGACTGTCAGACTCAGGCGCCTGAATATGTGAATTGGTGGGAAACGTGAGAGGCAAATGCTGCTGAAATCATCTGTGGTTTTCATGTATGGGAGAGCCCACCTGTACATTATTTGTCCAGTAATAGCTCCTTGTATCTGGTATATGAAAGCTCACTTTATTCAAATACGCTTTTTTCTATTCTAGCAACAAAACACCAATAACACTATGGTACTTGCGTATGGCTCGAACTACACAAAGCAAAATTTGCAGGATGGAAGATGACTACATGACTTATAGTGGTTGGTCTGGGTCAATATGTGTCCTTGTTGCCCACTTGTGTGTTTACTGCAGAAGGATGCAGAAAGATGGGTTGGGCTTCAGCCGCTGAGACTGCTGAGGATGGGGCAGGCCCAACCCTGAGCTCCTTCAGAAACCCGCGTCTCAGCAAGGCACAGGCTGGGTGCGTGGTTTCGTGGAGCGTCGAGGGCGATGGGGCGTGCTGGTGGCCGACCAGCCCGGCGGGGACCGGGGCGTGCAGGAGTTGTTTGGGCGCTTGCTGCCGGGGGTGCTCAGCAGGCCTGCCGCCCTCCCAAAGGGTGGTGGGGCGTCCCCGTCGGGGATGCTCTCACTATGACCCTTGTTAATGGGCTTCTGCAAAGCAAAAATCAAACATTTTGCTTCTGGCGGGAGGATCAGCGACGGCAAGCAGTCAGTTTTGGCTAAACATTGAAGTCCAAATCCGTCCGTAATTTTGTCCCCAAGCTGTTCCATTAAGTCAAGATTTGTAATTTTGGTTTGTGTTTGATACTGTGTTTATACTGAAGGGAAGCCCGATTTTTCCAGGCGGTACTGAGCAGGGCATCCCACAAAGGGAGCATCTGAGAACCTTCCCATAGCGTAATTTGAATTCTGTGCAGATAGGGAGGTACAAGCTGCGGTACGGGCGAGCACGCAGAGCACGGGGATAGCTGCGTACGGTGCGGTGCTGCGGTCCCACAGGAAGGCATGCAACAGCCCTGAGAAAAGTCTGTTGCACGGCCATCAGCAGGAGATAAAAAAAATAAGCTAGAGTTATCAGCACCCTTTCATGGCATTTCTGTATAGCTAACATACCATTTCCTGTACAGTTACACACATCATTGCACAGTGCCATGAACTTAACTCTTATCAGCACCCCGGTGGGAAAGCCTGGGTTATTTACAATAGGGCTCGTTTCAGTGTTGCAAGCTTCTTTTCAATTAAAACAAAGAGCAAATTAAATATTAAATAGATAAGTAGGCAAAGTGAAATTAATTGATTTTCTGGCACTGAGGTGTGGTAGACAGAGGAAACTTAAAGCAATTTCACTGAATTATATTACCTTCATTTGTGTATATTAGGTACATGAAACTTGTTTTAAAAACTGAGTAACTCTGAATAATGTATGTGCAGTGAAGCAGCAATCTTAACCAGCCCCCCCCCAAACCCCAAACCCAGCGCATGTGTCAGGTTGATTTTTTATTATAGGAGAAATATAGTATAGCTATCACTGTTAATACCAACACTGAAACATCACTTTAAAGTCATCTCCATGTTGACTTACAGTTTTGTACCTTGTACTCGGTGTACGTAGTATAAAAGAGGAGTCCAGGAACTACAAAACACCTCTTTGGACAACTTCAAACTGTCTCTTGATCCCAGATCTTCAAATGTTTCCTCTTTTGAGGCTTGGGGACTTGGATCCTTTTCACTCTGTCTGCTTACTGACCTTGATAATAGGTGTTTAGTTTGATACGTCTTTAGCAGCCCTGGGATTGCCTCCCAGGTGAAACTGAAAATTGCCTTACAGGGTGCAGGAGGCAGTTGTGCTGGGACTCCGCTGTACCTGGCAGCTGGCTACTGCCAAGCTGCAGGCTGCAGGCAGGATTGTGAAGTATTTTTGTGTGTGTGTGTGTGTATGTGTATGTCTTTTTTTTTTTTTTTTGTAGCGATCACATGCTCAAGAAGCAGGTACACTGGAAGTAAGGAAAACTTCCACATAGGAAAGGTGAGGGGGGGAAAATCCCTCACCCCAAACCCATAAACCTGGGTCGAGGGCTGCATCTCACCTTTCTCCTCCTTCCCCTCACACAGTGGGACCCTCCCAGAGGCAGTGTAGGGCCACGAGCTCAACAATCTGTATTTATAGATCCCAGAAATATGTAGGATTCAGTGTGGAAAACAATATTTGACTATGCTTTAAAAAAACCCAAACAACCAAGCCCACAGGCATTTCTTCAAGGTGTCTGATGGTGATAGATGAGCTCTTCTTCCCCTCATCTAGATATTTCCTCTGCCTGCAGCCCTGTCACTTTTTAAAGCAGCAATGGGGGGATTTTATTACGGTTTATACTTTCATCTTCATCCGTGATCTGTCTCCCTCTCCATGGGTCTGTACAGCATGCTAATCCCTCAAGTCTCTTACACAGCATAATTTTCATCTTAATTTTTCTATTTCTCAACATTAAATGGGTTTGCCAGGGGAACAGGGGTCATTTCCTGTCCCTGCCAGATCGTTAATTCTCTATGAAAACACCGCGATCTCACGCTTCTCAAGCAAACAGAAACATCGGGAAAAGCCAGTGTTATGTGCAAAATACTCAGCTGTGCTGCAGCAGCTGGAGGAGCAAAGATGCTGGTGTATGCTGCAGAGACCACAGGGTTTTAAAATGGTCATTTTAAAAACAGGGAGAGATTATATGAGAGCAGCAGAAAATGACTTTTTAATTCCTTAAAACAGAACCAACATCTTTTTTTTTTCAGCTTGCATCTGCTGAGTGGTCTCCTCAATGTCTTTCTTTTTAGAAATGATTGCTCTTCCCTTCCCTCCCCTCGCCCCCCCCAAAAAACCCAACCGGTGCAATTTTTTTTATACTGACTCTTGTCACTTTCTAAATAAGGGATTTGATTTTTGCTCTTTTTTTTCGGTGCTTGGGCACCTCTGTCTGCCTGTAATCTGTCTCAGCCGAAGCTGGAAAAGGAAACAAAAACCCCTCAACCCTGTATTTGTGAATGCTTTCTGCAGACCATTTCATGAGATGAGAAAAATCCAGAGTTATTCTCCTTAAGCCAGCAGCAGGAGAGGAAAAGAAATGACTCATCTGTTTACTTTTAAAAATCCTTTTTAAGAACTCAAACGCATCTGATAAATTATTAGCATTTTACCCAACCAGCCTCTGCTATTAACTCCTGGCATTTCTGTAGTCTTGCGCTCACTGTAGCATCTTGCTGCCAAATCCAAGGATTTACAAGTCTCAGGAGAGACTTGGGAGATTTCCCGCTTCCCTGCCTTGGCCATTTTTTAGCCTTTGTTTGTGGAGTTGTTTTTTTTTTTTCTTTTCTTCCCTTTTCCCTGTCCTCTTTGCAGGTTTGCCAGTATTACAAACATCTATACGAGCAAATAATTTCTGTAAGCGTCAGAGCCAGTGGAGCTCTTCGTGTGCTCTCAGATGCAGACACATCCCCAGGCTGGGAGTCCTTACCCATCCAATTTCGGAGCGGCGCTGCCCTCCCTATCATCCCAACGCCAGCGTGCCAGCCGGCCTGCAGCGATGGCACACGGTTTGCTCGTAGGGAGCAGGATTCAGCCACGTGCAGGTGAAAAATGTAAATTTTGGGTGTGCCAGTGCTTTCCTGTGGTAACGGAGCTGAAACCGGACAAGTTTCCATGGTGATTACTACTACGGCAGGATGCGCCACACACTCTGGGAGAGGCACGGGCGGTGCCAGGCGGAGCGGTCAGCCCCCAGCCAAAGTCTGCTGGTGGCAGCTCGCGGGGTTGAAATTACTTATCGTTCTAAATAAATGCATGCGCAGCGCCATTAATTTGCTGCCTTTTTTTTTGGGGGGGGGGAGGGTGTGTAGTCTTTCTAGGAAATAGGCTGGAAATTTCACCGCAATCATGAATAGAAACCATGTCTGCCCTTTTTTAATTGCCATTTGCTTGGTTAATATGAAGGGTTGGGCTGTCAAAATAAATTTGCAGTTGCTTTGATTTTTTTGTTATTCCTTGGGTCTTTAATCAGTCAGCTGCTTGGTTCACACTACTGTCTCTCTCTAGCTCTGTGGCAGGGTGAGGGCCGGGGTTTGGTTTGGTTTTGCTTTGCCATTGCCTGGCCACGCTCTTTTCTCACCCTGCACACGGCAGTTTCGGAGGTGCCGTACGCACCGTGCAGCGCGCGCCTGCTTGCGTTTAGTAAATCCCACTGGGATGACAAAGGGCCAAGTACTACAGGGGAACCGAGTACCCTTCGCCCAGGATGGAACATTTCTTAGCAGTGCTGTTTTTAGAAATGTTTGTTTTGGGGGCTTTTGCTTGAGTTAAAACAGCACGCTGTTGCTCGGCTGTGCTGTGCACTGTCATTTACGTGAAGCTTTGTTTAAAAATGTGGAACGGATGGCCCAAGTCCTTGTTCATCAGGCTGTGTACTGGGTGGAAGGGGTGGAGGGGGGGGTGCTGGCTGCAGGCAGTCCTCGAGGCCTTTTACATTATCTGTGTTTACAGCTAAATAGAAGTTCCTCAAAACTCTTCGTACAACACTCGGGGATGTATGTATATCCAGCATCGCTGTATATATAGTACACTGTCTTACGGAGCCGTTAGCCTGAAGCATGGAAATGTTTAGCAGCTTTTCTTTGGCGATGGGGTCTTTAAAGGCAATTGCAAATATTATTTTAAGGAGGAGATTTATGCGCTGCCTAAAACATGTTTCTGGCTCGCAGGCCAAATTATGTCGGTGCCGATGCTCCCGGCAGCCCGGAGCCGCCGCGGGTCCCGCTGACGGCGATGTAGAGGCGGCGCCGGCAGAGCCTGAGAAGCCCCGCGACATGGAGGAGCTGTACAAGGACGCCCCGAACCTGCCCATGGATGTCACCAGCCCGCCCTCGGCCATGGCCAACAACAAGCTGGAGAACGGGGTGGCCCAGCTGATCACGGCCGAGGCCTGGAACATCAACTCGGCCGACCTGATGAAGAAGGCCCTGTCCCCGCTGGTGACGGTCCCCGCGCCCTCCATCCTGACGCCACCGGCCGAGTCGCAGAGCGGGGTGGCCCTGAAGGTGGCGGCCACCGTGCTGCAGCCCATCTGCCTGGGGGACAGCCCCGTCGTCCTGCCCATCCACCTGCAGGTCGCCGGCAGCGCCGCCCCGCAGATGCCGGCCACCAGCGCCGCAACCCCCTACGTCATGACCACCCAGGGCCCCGTCCCGCTGCCCGTCCTCCTGGAGCAGCACGTCTTCCAGCACCTGAACTCGCCCCTGGTGCTGCCCCCGGGGGCCGCCTGCCCTGCCAGCCCGCTGCACGCCGGCCTCTTCCCCGCCACCGCCACCCCCCCTGTCGGGCAGCCCCAGCTCCTGGACCCCAAGCCCTCCGGCCAAGCGCAGGAGCCCGTCCTGCCCCCCGTCTTTCAGACGCCGGGCTTCGCCGCCGTCCTCCAGGACCTGTTTCCCTCGCAGGGCGCCCTGGGCTCAGCCCCCTGCCAGCCCCCCCCCGACTATGCCGCCCTCCCGCCCCAGGCCTT